AAGTCTCACCGTCCAGCCTCGAAGGTGAAGCGGGTGGCGTCGCGTCCGTAGCGCCGCAGCGAGCAGAGCGGCCAGGTGACCAGCTTGGTGCGAGGGTTGTGGATGTCCCACAGGTAGATGTTCTCGTGGGTGATCTGCATCATGCACTCGCCGTAGATGTCCAGGTTGGGGCAGGGGAGGAGGAAGACGTTGAAGCGCTCTGAGGAGACAGAGGACGGTCAGACTCCGCCCCCAAATGTTGAGTAAAATCTGTTTTCATGCTCAGGTCCTCGCAGTAAACACCGATTAACAGGATGAATAAAGTTAAAGTTAATCATTCTTTCATAACAGACGCAGCCTTTTGTGTGCAATGAGCACTACAAGCTTTATGAAATCTGACGTAAACACAAACAACAATAAACAATAATATGTTCACAGTTGAAGGAGCTTTCAGTGTCACTTCCTGTTGTTAGTTTGAACTGAAAGTCCAGCACATCTTTGTGCTGGACTTTCCTGTAATACCACATTGTGCCACACGGTGGCGCAGCGAGTCAGCCGTGATTTAACGAGTCATTAAGAGCAGATTTACATCAGCAGCCTCGATCAAAGGAGAAGAACCAAAAAGAAACATCACGGGTAAAAATATCACACGTTCAAAAACACATCAACACGCCCCCACCTGCTCCTGTCCCAGCATCCTCCTGTCACACCAACCCTCTGCATGTCCTCCTTCACTACATCCACGAACCTCCTCTGAGCTCTTCTTCTCCTGCCTGGCAGCTCCATCTTTATCCTCCACCCTCCCCCCTCTGCACACGCTCAGACCCTCTCAGCCTCTGACTCTGAGCCGTCCCTCTGATGGACTCGTTTCTGATCCTGTCTCACTGCCATGAACATCTGCACATCTTCAGCTCGGACTGATAAAATGGTCATAGTTACAGTGTGTGTGTGTGTGTGTGTGTGTGTGTGTGTACCTGTGTGTTCACACTGCACTCCAGCAGCCAGCAGGTCTGGCTCGCCCATGCTGATGTCATTAAGTCGCATCCCCAAACACTCGATCGACAGCGTCTTGAACCAATCCTCAGCCTCCAGCTCTGAGAGAGAGAGAGAGCTGTCGGGGACTACAAACACGTGCTGGCTTCACCTCACCGACTCCCCGTCCTCACAAACAAACTCAACTCAAAAAGAAGGAACTTTGAAGATCACATAAATCTATGTTTATTTATTTTATCCACAGTAGAACACAGATTTTAAATGTTTACGCATCAA